TCTACATTTTAGGGGTTAAATTATCTTGTTTACAGGCTTGTATAAACCTGAAATCGTGACAATTGTTGTGGAAAATGAAAGCTATATGTTCTCACAATCTACTGTCATTTAATTTTGTCTCCTGCTTTGCCTAGTTTCCGAGTTACAACTTGTTTTCATAGACGATTCTGTCAAAATCGATTGGTGTCATTAGGCCCTATTTGCATAATGACTGATCCAAATTGATCCCATTTCTGTGTTTTTTTACCTCGATATTTAATCATGTCATGTAAAAATCTGTTTGTATTCTCAAAACAGTGTCGGCCCATAAGTTTTCACATGCAATACAGCAATTAATACTCCCTTGTTGTAACCCGTGTTAGGTGGTATAAACCTACACATGTTATTTGTCATCATTCACTTGATGGTCAGTTAATGAATTTATAACAAGTATAATTAGTGGTAACATACTTAGATTACCCGACAAAGGTTCACATTTGGCATTTCTTGTGACTGGAGTAAATATTCAACATTATAAACATCGATCAAAGGATTAACCGATAACACGCTGATTGATTAATTACTTTTATCTTACACAGCGGAATTGTCAAAAGGTAGTGTTTATGTATGTAGATTTACTAATCTATACTGAATACACTCTGTCGTGTCGGTGTCTGCGTAAAAACAACGTCCTTCTTTCAAAGGATTAACCGGCAACACACTGATTGATTGCCCATTATTGGCTAACTAAATTACTGTTGTTAAAGAAAGGCGGACATTATGCAATTAGTTGCCAGGTGTGCTATCTTGGGTGACCAATGAGACTATACACCAATACCTGAAAAGATTTATCACTTTTTCGTATATTAAACTGTTAAAAGACACATCATTTGGAACAGTTTTGTGGATATTGATGGATACATTCCTCGAACAAGGTAATGGCCTGATATTGTTCCTATAACTTTAATCTGTTTTAATTTTAATATTTGCATTTTGTTTTTATTCATTTGTCGTAGCATTCAACAGAATCATTGTTTTCGCCGTGAAAGGTAATGAGACAGACAACATGCAACTAGGGTGTGTGTGCGAATTATGATTCACATTGGCAAACTATAAAATGTCTAGATATTACAGTTCTGTTATAAATTCACTATAAGTATCAGCAGATCTTCTGTTTTTATTTAGTTTCAAAATGCATACATGTATGATAATAAACTAATTAGGATTATATTTACAAATATAAAGACGCACATTGACTAGTATCTACATACTGGTTAGTGGACATTAACCATGGGAATGTAGCAAGAAATTTATCGCGCAGTATTGTGACTTCGACCTCCACCTCGCTTCCGTGGAAGAAATCGTTATGTTATAAGTTGTGTCATGCAAAATCCGTTTGGTTATGATTCCAATACATATTTAACTACGAGTAGAAAGTAGTCTTGATTTTCTAACTTGATGAAAACAAACTATAATCTAATTAATTCTAACAGATTTTTTTATTTTTAAAAATGGCGGCGCCCTGTCGGGAACATCCGCCAGTCTGAGGATAAATGGTATTTAGGTTTGTTTTCACCGAGTTACAAAATCAAAACTACTTTTCACCGGTAGTAAAATATGTATTTTATTGATGGCCAATAGGATTTTGCATGACATAGCGTATAACATAACAATTTCGCTCGTGGCAGCGAGGCGGGTGTCAATATAATACTACTTACAATATTATCGTTACTTCGACCACAACCTGGGCGGTGGGGTAGCCTAGTGGTTAAAGCGTTGGCTCGTCACGCCGAAGGCCCGGGTTCGATTCCCCACATGGGCACAATGTGTTAAGCCCATTTCTGGTGTCCCCCGCCGTGATATTGCTGAAAAGACAGTTGCACCCATTGTAAACTGTCTTAGAGGTTTTAAATATCGTCTCTCACGTAGAACTTTACAAACAATGTACAAACAATATATCTTACCTATTTTCGACTATTGTTGTCACATCTGGGACAATTGTACCAAACAGCAAGCACTAACACTGTGGGGTCTTCCCACTTCCCCAACTCCTATTGTTTCAGAAGAAGAAATCACTGGGGTGTGATAATCCCCTATAATCCCTTATTTTGTTACCTGTGAAATTGTATCCGGGGCCGAATAGGATAAAATACTACTAATACTCAATGTTTGTTTATTTAGGAGATAAACCTAGTGTGTTTGAAAATCAGAGACATGTTTTACTGAATTGATGGCGCCGTAACGCGAATGAACCGGCATATTATAACGTGATTATATACCTCTGAATGACTTTAAATAACCAATCACAATCGGGTATTTGATAAAGTCGTGGTAGAATGATAAGTAACGGGTTAATCCAACAAACAAAGACCTGATGAAGCGTTATTCAAGTAGGAGTGTGTATATACTGGTGTTACATGTATATATGTAACAGGGAATGTGTGAAACCAGGGATGTCACGTACTCCAGGTTGTAATCATGAAATCACTGACTCTTTTAGGTATTACGTGAAATCACTGGTTCCACACATTCCCTGTAACATATATAACCAGCACCATTACAGTAGACTAAAACTTAGTCTCTGAATATATATAAAGTGGATAGAAAAAAATCATTTTTGAACTGGATCCCAAGTCAAATGGGAGATGTAGCACTAGGAAATCTAGACTTGCTTCATTTAGAGTTTTAGAAGCATAAACGAAAATGCTGCGATTCAGGGACTGTGCGACAGATTTAGATATTTTAGCTACAAATCGTGGATGCAATATTTATGCTTTAGAATGTAAATTTATGCACTAGTATGTTGGTTGGTTGGTTTGTTGTTTAAAGCCGCACTTAGCAATATTCCAGCTATATGGCGGCGGTCTGTAAATATTCGAGTCTGAAACAGGCAATCTAGTGATTCATCATGGGCGTCGACCTTTGCAATTGGGATACGATGACATGTATGAACCAAGTCAGAGAGCCTGACCACCCGATCCCGTTTGTAGCCTCTAACGACAAACATGGGTTAATGCAAGTGAATATGTTCAAAATTGCCTCTGTCCACCCAACAGTAAAATTGGGTACCTGGTATGATACGATGGTAGTCTGAATTTGAACCTTGAGCGCCTGACAGGCGACCGGTTGTATTCTCCACATGGAGTGTTCTGTACTCGTTGACCAGGGGTAATATCTCAGCGCTTTGAGCATGCAATGTGCATGGATAAACGCGCAATATAAATGGACTATTATTATTATTATTATTAGTAATGAAGATCAATTCTAACCAGGATATTCACGGGTCGCATTAGTATCCAAATGAGATGGTTATCTGAGATTTTGCTCTGTGGCACGTTCAGTGACATGCCATGACACTAATTCCTCCATATCATATCTGACATATGATGCCAATCAATGTCAGGGATGTAAAATAGATGGTGTGGTGTGATAACACATTATCCTTATTAAAGGAAACGTTATGTTTACTCATCTTGCTATATGGCGTGACACCATCCTCATATCACCTTTTAATCGATCGAAATTTTCTGCGAATCAAATATCCTTCCTCCCCTTCACGGGGTTCATCACGATCGAGAACCAGGAAGCGTACAGTGTGGGCAACTAAGAAAACGTTTTTAACGAATCAAAATCCTCCATGTGATAATGAGTTAGTGGGTTTAGTTTTAAGCCGCTTTTAGCAATATTCCTGCAATATCACGGCTTGGGACACCAGAAATGGGCTTCACGCATTGTACCCATGTGGGGAATCGAACCCGGGTCTTCAGCGTGACGAGCAAACGCTGTAACCACTAGGCTACACCACCCACAGCCGGGGTGTTTTCTTTATGCCCGCACTATTGTTTTGGGAATAAAATTACTGGACCACATATGTATAATGCACATTGAGCTTGGTGATCCTTTAGCGATTGTATGGTAATTGTGTGACTGTGTTCTATAAATGAACACCATAATACAGTTCATGATAATTTCTTTTGGAGATTTTATAATGATAATACACTCTCTGCTGCATACTATCTTTAATCTGTAAAACATAATTATTAATAATTAGTCGGGAATGAAGTTCGGACAACTCCGTGAGAATTTGGTGTTCACCGTAGGCTAGGCATTGAATTCAAAATCGGAATGCGTACTATTGTATATTGTATATACTGTGTATATTTACAACTGTCTTCGCTGTTCCGTCAGATGCGCGGAAGTTCCTGAAACTAGTTTTACACAGTTTCCCATGTTGTAAACTTGGACACTGGCGCGAGTTTCGGGACCGTAACTACAATATGGTTGGAGGGTGGGTGATTGTAACGGTGGGTCACCCATTTTGTTCTGGGAAAGTAGGTATTGTTATCAATTTTGTACACACGGTCTAGGGGGTCAGCTATTTTGTATATGGTAATATTAAAAAAATATGTTTAAAATTATGGGAAGGAGGGGTAATTGATTTTATACATGACTTACGGTTTGTGTCTGTGTGTGTGTGTGGGGGGAGGTGCTTTGTACATAAATCCTTGGGGCTATATACACATTATACATGCTACTCCATAAAAATCATCGCCCCAAACCCCCACCACCCAACAATCACCCCCATCCACCTAGCCATAAAACGGTCCCTTAAAAGAGAAATTCATTTTCAGAAAGTAGTCCTGAATCTTTACAAGCACACGGAACCATTCGTTATTGTGTTGTAATAGAGATTCACAAGAGAATCTGAGAACCATGCAGCGTTGAAGGTTACTATTAATCAATACTGTGTGACAAGAGTTTGCACATGTTTATGACGGGCGTCTCCGATGGGGCAGGATACGCTCCTCACCTTTTCACGAACACCTGGTATCATCCCCATTTCACAGTGATCGTAAACACATGCTCTGTCCTCGTATCGCATGGTGACAATCACTGGATTGTCTGTTCCATACTCGACTTGTGTACAAACACCATTGTTCAGTTACAATAGTGATGAAACAAATATATACTCATGTAGCAGCTTCAAGTGTGCATCTTGATAAAGGTGACAACACAGCTACGGGTGTGATTCGATTTATTCGACGACTGGGTTTAGTTCATTGTTTTACACCCTGAAATACACAATAACAATGATGAGGATAATAAACAGTATCCGAGCATAATTCATTTGGCTTGCAAACAAAAGTATGGACAACACCGTAACACGTACATCATATGCATCATTAAATAAAGACGGTAAATATAGAATCACTACATAGTGTTATATTAGTGTCCTTGCAACATAGTCAAGCATCTACACAATACTGACAAGTAAGATACAACAACCTGAATTACAGTTGTCCAGATATGTAGTAGTAAATATAGAATATATGAAATATACACACATCTTACTGTGTGTAAAACGTCATCAATAGATACTGGTATATATTAACGTGATGAAAATATACAACATACCAGAAGTATGGCCTCTAGGTGTATGTCACACTACAGTTTTCCACAACTACATGGTCACGGCTACAGTGGCACCGAAAATACCTGCAAATGTGGAAATAATTCAAAACTAACTTCTCTACACAACATCCTTACACACGTAAATATTATCATCAAATCAGAATTACTGTAAGCACATATTTACAGATCTGGCATAGCACACAGTAAAATACCAAACATCCTAATACTATTATACACATACATACACAACACATACATGATAAAAGCTTCATAAACTTATAAATCAAAATACTCATTCAAATACCTGCCTATCCAGGAGATTTTGCCATTGACTAAACCTCTCACAAATGTACAAATTACCTTATTTAGCATACATAACATAATGTTTATATAACCTTATTTATGAAAAGATATACACATATATGTTTATGTATTTATTTAAACAAACATACCTTGACAGTAGTGAAGTAACTAAAATTAGTACACTTGCTGCAGTCTGTTGGTGACTTTTCTGTCCAGTAACTAAGGTGCAGGTGAGGGTTAAAAGCATGCAAGCTAAGAACAATAGGGTCAGCCACTCAGCCAGAATATTTGCCCTGGTTTAAACAAAAGGAAGTGATAGGTAAGTGACTGACCCAAGCATATCCAAGTTAAACTATTTAAGGTGTAGTATCACCTCTTAATTAAAATCCTTCATACCCGTAATGATAACTGATATGTATATCTACTAACTAATAACTAAAACTAATAACTAATACTAATGCTAATACCAATACTATATTCACTATATACTAATAACTAGTACTAATACTAACGCAAATACTAATGTCACTATTAATACTAATACTAATTACAGTGGTGTACAGTGTATGGTTTATTTGACAGTAACACAAATATATGTGACTGTCACACTCATATAGTCACAATTGCACAATCGACTCTGCGTTTAGCAGAGATTTCTCATGGATTTGGAAAGGATTTTGTTGATTCTATTCAAGTCAGATACGTCTAATGTTACATACTTTTCCCGCCGAGACCAAAAATACCATAAGGTTTGTGAGTGCGTATCTCTATCTGTGTCCATGTGAGTATTTACATGTGGATGTATGTGCCTGTGTGTATGAGTGTGTGTCTTTCCAACGTGTGGTATGTGAGACAGTGAGAATATCTTCGAAGATGATCGCTAACGAATTGTATACATACATTAACCGTCATTTATAGAATTAAGAAATACACAAGAGCTTCGCGTAAATGGACCACACTCAAGAAACTACACTCGCACACTACTCCCATTTAAACACTTCGTCTATAACTGTGTATGCTTGAAAATAGAAGAAAAAGAACAACCCGAAAACAAAACAAAAACAAAGATTCGAAATTCGGGTCACCCTGGAAACATCTCTTCGATATGCTTGCAAACAGTCAACATTGCGACTTTAATAGTTTCACAGAAAACCTGTACCAATTCCAAACAGTTTGCATTCAGCACGGAGCAAAAACTCTGTAAAATACCTTAACACCCCGAACTTATTGTGGCCAGTAACACAAATGGGTACAATTTCAGGTCTCTAACTTAAACACTTTTTGAGAAAATTGTCCTCAAAGAACAACCCTGCCTGTACCATCTTTTCCTTTACGATGCCCGAGGGTAGCCTAATAGTCGGGCATTTTGTCCTTGTCGCGCCGCAAGTCCCGGTTCCACTCCACACATGGGTACAATATGTAAGGCCCATTTCTTGTGTTCCCCGCTCTGGTATTTCTGGAATATTCAGGTACCTTTATTCTTTGTTCACACTGATCGTTCTCTGCTTGAATGTTGAACTTTCGAAGCTAAAGTCCAACACCTTTCTGGATTACTTAAATCCACCTCGGCGAACAAATCAAAGATTGCATGTTCTAAACGTACCAAGGAGAGGGGAGAGAGCTTCTTTCTCTTCTTGTGTACAAAGCCATTTCCATGGAGATCTACTTTAGTACTGCAGCTAGTGCTCTGGCAACAGTCAACATATTATGAAATCTTACTCTGAACACAGACTTGTTATGCGTGTGTCCCAGTCTAAGTAAAGTTAGGGTCAATATTATTCGTTAATAATATTAGTCTAACAAACCCAAGTAGAAGGTCGCGTCAGCTAACCTTTTGAACTGACCAATGAGAACACAACTTATCAAATCGCTAAAGTTACCATTCGCACATACCGTTTGAACTTTTACCTCGAAAGCTCAAACGAATCCGAATGCTATTTCAGCACGAACGCTTCCGAGTGATACACATGGATGACGCATTATTCACAACAGCGACTCAACAGTTGCTGAAAATAGCTTTTTGTCTATATTCCTGGATGGCATCTTGCGGAAATATAAGCTAACCGTAACCAAGTCATCAGAAACCCCTAAGCGTATATACTGCAGGGCAAATATGTGTGTTTTATGATGATTTTCGTTTGTTGTGAGGGATCAGTGTCAGCGACCAGGGAAGAGAAAATCCTAAAATCGTTTTGTAATTCCCGCCGAGCCCTAAATAGTAGGTCATAGGTCACTCAGAGGTGAGCTGACGTGACCCGCTGCAAGGGTTTGTTGGACTCAGGATGGCAATGTAACGAATAATACTGAACCTAAGTTTACTTAGATTGGCATGTGTCCCAAAGTATTTTATGTTAGTTCTCGGTTAGGGCCGTTCAACGCGAAATCAGGACTCTGGTTTGTGGTTGAATAATATTCGAAAAGTTTCAGGCTAATAATCAAGTGACAGAGCGGACCTCGGGATCGACTGGCCAATAAACCTGGACTGTCAAACGCCTCTGTAATTACATACAAAAACAATCGGACGTTGACATGGTTGTTGGTGATACAACGGTTCTAACCGTACGACATCAGTCCGCTCCTGTCGATCATCTGGCCTGAACTTCTGGTTGACCATTTCAGGCAGGACTGTTCGTTGAGGTCGCTTTCGAAAAGATGTAAAGTACCATTTATAGATTAAACTGGGGTGTAAGGGTCCCAGGAGGGAATATTAGGGCGTTCACATCGAAGGTTTGCTGAGACAATATGACATGAAGGCGCCTTGGAAACATACGGTATTTTGGATAAGCATGAACGAATGTTATTCAAGTATTTTTCAATCTGAAACAAAGATACACATTCCTCTCAGATTATTATGCTCTGTCACTTATTCCCCTTTAACTGTCAATGTCTGTTTTGCAAACAGGTAATATATCTACAAATAATACGATTGAAAGATGACTTGATGACATATCATTTGCAGGAAATGGATGGGCTGCTGTTACTCACACTGACCATGACGATGTCGTCTGTGACGATGCATTACATTCACGAAGATGATGGATGCAAAAAGGTAAATGCCACAATGGGATGCCCTGCATTCGACTGCTCTCAAAGGCATAATACATCAATACCCCAGTCTCTTCCAAGTGACACCTGTGAACTTTATCTCCGACGAAACAAAATCTAAGTGTTCCCTGCAGGTTCAATCAAACGGTACAGAATGTTGACACTCTTGGACTTGTCGCATAATAAGATTCATGAAATTCAAGATGGAGCTTTTGAGGGAGCACAGGAGCTACTGACGCTTTTCTTACATGATAATGCTCTGAACTTTTCAAATTCTTACGCAAAGATATTCAAACCCCTTAGAAAACTAGAAAATCTAACTCTTCATTACAACAACTTGTCCGATTATGCTGAGGAAGTATTGAGCGATCTTAGTTCTCTGCAACAGTTAAAGATGGATGGACTCCAAAACAGATCCTTTGGCCCTGGATATTGGAATCTCTCACAGCTCCATACGCTGATGTTATCTGGTAGATGCAACATTCAATGGTTAATCAAGGACACTTTCAGGAATGTAATCCATTTACGAAAACTCAATGTTTCTTCTTGCAACGTAACCACAATAGAGGCGGATGCACTGACACCCTTGAAGAACCTAACAATGCTGGACATATCTAAGAATCGCGCATTGAAACTAGGAGGTCTTGAAAATATAACGTATGGCTTAAAGGACACAACCATTCGAAAACTTTTTGTCAATGAGATAATGAATATCCGAACGATCTGCAATATTATTCAAGCAAAGCACATAAGGAACCTGCAGAATACATCAATTTTGGAAATACATGCAAATGGTAACGGTCTTTCCGGATTTAGTGAGAAAACGTTTGAGGTGCTGCCGCCATCACTAAAACGTGCTTACCTTCTGTTTAATCGATTTTCATCTGGCCCTTACATATATGACCTCCAACACCTCCTTGGCCTTGAAGTGTTGATTTTGAATGGTAAACCTGATTCCTCTCGCATAATTCCCTATGGGACATTTTTGCCGCGTCGGGCAATACACATGAATTATAAGCTTCGTGTACCCAACATGAATAATATACAGGTAAAATGTGCTAATACTTCAGACGGTATTGATAATCACGAGGATGAGTTTCTCCAAACCTTGTCCTCAGGACTGCATCGTTTTAGAACCAGTCATAAACATCCCTTTCCTGTCCCGCCCCATTTAAGAAAGTTCGAGTACACATATTCTGAACTGTCAGCCTGTATTTCAGAGGTCCACTTTGGAGAAAATAACTTACAAATTATTAATCTGTCAAGCAATGTCCTCACAATATGGCAGGGCCCCATATATGGTCTCCATAAATTAACTCATTTATCTCTATCGAACAACATTGCCAAATCTGTCTCCACCAACTTCTTTTCACAGCTGCCACAACTCAAGCACCTAGATCTATCTTTAAATTATTTAGGAACAAGTATTGCAAATGATCACGATGGAGAAATATTTCAGAATCTAACCAGGTTGAAATTCTTGAATATGAGCCAAAATAGTATTTCGAAGGTACCCAAACGGTTGTTTAGGGGACTCCGCTCATTAAGCACTTTAGATCTGTCTATGAATAGAATTGGGAATTTTCCATCTAGTATCGCTCATACTAGGCTGCTCAGTACGCTCATTTTATGCAGAAACGAAATGAGGACAATAAATACTAGGGACTTAGCCTTAATCGAAAAAATCACGAAAAATCCTAATTTCACCATAGATGTATCTCAGAATCCATTTTCCTGTAACTGTGACCTTATCCCATTCCTTAATTGGCTTGGAACAACGTCAGTGAAAATTGAAAATTATGACCGTTGTAACTGCACTTATGAAGGCTTCACCCTGAATATAGAAATGCATCGAGTTGACATTGTCCGTAAATTGTCCAAGACGTGTAGCGAACATACTGGTCTTACAATGGGTATTGTTCTAGTCCTTTTCTTTATGACCTTAGTCGTTATTCTTTCAGCTATAGCATATCGATATCGATGGAAGCTTTCTTACTGGTATTTTGCTACCAGATTACGGTTCAAAGTAGATAAAACCAATGAACCTGAATATGATTACGACGCATTTGTGTCCTTTGCTGAGGAGGACAGAACTTTTGTTTTTGAGGAATTAATTCCATCCTTGGAGACAGAGAAAGGATTGCATTTGAATATTCATAGTCGGGATTTCCTACCAGGGAGACCTATTGCCGAGAGTATTATTGACGTTATACAAAGAAGTCGGAAGACAGTGTTGGTACTGACCCCAGAGTTCTTGAAGAGCACGTGGTGCAGATATGAGCTGCAGATGGCCAACATGGAAAGTGTCACAACTGATAGAGACATCCTGTTGATCCTGGTAATAAAACATATCCCCAAATGTGATATTCCACCTGAAATCTTCTACCATTTACACAATAACACGTATCTAGAATACCCGGATGATGGACAGACTGACTTATTTTGGACGACTTTGTCACATTCGATCAAAACGACTTAAAGTGTATTAAGTTCACAATGTATGATAATCGCTGATCGTAGAAGTTGCATCAGTATCTTAAGGCCATACTGCTACAATGAATTTATGTGCTGACATGTTTCGATCTGTGACATGATGAAAACAAACTGAAAGAAAACAGCTGTTCGATTGAGCTGCGGTTTACTTGCTGTGTTACGCAAATTTCAATGACAGCATAACTTTGAAGCTTTTTGCTTAGTAATAGGGAGCAAGAAAATACAGAAATCCATTTGTAGCATGGATATCATCTCGATAGGGAATATGGGATGTTATCTGAAGCTCAGAAATGTGCTAGTATGTTCTGATCACGTTCACGCGAGCCAATCAAATCGCATCATTGATGTGAGATAATATATCCTTCCCAATGTTTGGTGGGTGATCAAGTCTTGATGGTCAATTGAAAAGAGATTATACCGATGCGCAATGATTTGGTAATCTCATTAGTACATCAATATTTTAATGATTGGGTCGATGGAAAAATGTACTTGAGGTGTTTCAAAGAGAATCGTTGCACATCAAAGTCACATGATTTGCTGCTGAGGATTGCAACAACGGAATGCATCTGTGACCATTCAGTGTCTAAAGACGACGTTTGGCGACCGTTAAATTATGCCGCTACATAGGCAAAAGAACCTGACGCTTGATGTCATCAACAGTACATGGAATCGATTCCGGACGCTTGGAACAGCTATCGGGAGACACACTAGTCGTCGACAATGTTCCAATACACAACGGGAAGACTGGCAGTGCTTTCTCCTGACGTTATCTCTTTGAGCCTGCCGTGGCTCTCAGAATTACCGTGCTGAAGGCCATATGCGTTAACGTACCTCCTAAGACTCTCGGAATATATGTAAGTTTGGTTGTTACAAATGTACCGATTTCAATTGAAAAGGAGGCCCAGGGAGACCAGAGAATCAGATCCTCCCCGAGCCTGAGGAAATCTAGACTTGCTTCATTTAGACCCTTAGCATTGCCGGGAGGGCTAGGCTATAGGGGCGATGTGGTTCAGGGTCTGTGAGACAGTCAAGTGCCTCCTCTGCGAGTAAGTAATCATCTCAATGAGACTGATGTCAGGTTACAGAAGGCATGCATGTGCATTCCAAGGACTAGACATCACGTATTGATTGAAGAACAAGTCATTCGGACAGACCAGGATTGGGGTCCAGTACGTTTCATGGTACTCGGTGAATGGAGAAGTGGAGGGATAGGTAGTGGTGTTTGGTTGGATCGACAGAACTGTCAGAACCGTCATGCAACGGGACAAACTTACAACTGAGCACACATTGAGACCACTTGCTGGTGCTCTAGGATCGGACTTTGTCCTCCTGGGTGATAACGCATGACCCCTTCGTACAAAGTTCTTGTGTCCACTTAGAACAGGAATCAACTGTTCGCGCTGAGAGCTCAGCTCGATCACCGGACTTCAACCCCATCGGACACATGTGTCATACAGGCTGAAGATCGCCCTTTGTATAGGAACTCGGTAACTCTACAGGAACGTGCCAATACTTTTAGTCGATAGTGGAACGAGTTTCCTTTGTCATGTATTCAGACCTTTACTGAGGGTATGAGACGACAATGTCAGGCTGTGATCGCAGCAGGTGGAACCCGTGAAGATCCATGTTAGAATTGGTGTTCAGAAACCCATGCTTGTCGTCGGAGGCGACTAACGGGATTGGGTGGTCAGGTGCACTGACTTGGTTGACACATATGTCATCGTATCGCAATTGCGTAGTACGATGCTCATGCTGCTGATCACTGAATTGTCTGGTCCAGATTCAATCACTTACAGACCATCGTCATATAGCTGGAATATTGCTGAGTGCGGCGTAAAACAACAACCAAACCAAACCAAAGCATCAGGTGGATTACATACGCCAGACAGAAAGATGATTTTCGAATAATGTATTTTGTTTATGATCAGATATTTTAATTGTGACAGGGTTGTGGTCTGAGTGACAGGGTTATTGGTCACGCGATCAGACTCGCATTATGTAGACCATGAAACGGACCTTTGTTCTTTGAACATTTTTCTGTACAATAATGTCTCTGGGTATTTCAACAGATGCATATGATATCAGTTTTATAGTAGTGAACCTTAGCACACACTGAGTAGTATATATCGTTGTACCTGCTGTAAATGCACCACTTACAGTATTCCTAGAAATTAGCCGCTGGTATTATTACTTTATTGCTTACTGATTTATTATATATGATTATTTGTACATACATGCATATATGTAAATAACGTGTTGGAGTAGGTAATGCATGTGTACAATTAGCCCTGTAACGTGTAGTATACATGTAAATAGCTTGTAAGGAAGTTATACTGATCAAATAACCGATTTTCGTTATTCTCTGTGATTGTCGTACTTGTTTTCCTTCCATTGAATTAATTATTGGTTGTTCTCGTCAACAATATGTGTACAATGTCATCAATAGATGTCTGGAACTGAAAAAGTTTCCATCAAACCAAGCGTGGTACCACCTTCAAACAGATACCCGCGTCGTTTTGTAATGTATCGTTCAGCTGTATATAATCTACAACATTAAAAAACCTGACCCCAACAGTATTGTTAATATTTGTTTTTCAGTATCTGTGTCAGTGACAATGACATGTAGGCTTTTTGATTTGGCCTTAAAACGTGAAACATGCGTGTAACACAACGTCCACCGAGATGTATGATCACCGTAGGGGCCGTTCATAATATGGCCAAGGGGTGATCATGATTTTAAGGGGAGGTCACCCATTTTGTTCTGGAAAGGTGGAGGGTGGGGTGTGTGTGTGTCATCCTACACATTAAACAGGAAAATACATGGTAATTATAAGTTTGAATAAAAAGGAGAGTACGCCGCGACCTTACAACTCAGCAACGTGAGCATGGCATAGGTAGGTATGTTTGATGCTGGACAATCTGCTGCAGCAGTTGCACATGCCCTGGGCTCTAGTTGTCAGGAACTAGATAGTCTGATGACCCGTGTGCAACTGACTGGCACCGTTTGCAGTTTGTCCATGATCATATGAAAATGACGTACAAATCAGGTTACGTAATTTCCACAAAAGATGTGTGACTGCAGCCTCCACAAGCAGACAGTTGGTCAGGTAGATTCTTCAGCTCAGACCATCAGGAATCGACTGCATACGGCACGTATACGAGCTAAGATGATCATATACAGGGCTCATCCTGTCATGCACAACGTTGATAACATATACTAATGATAACACATACTAATGATAACTTCGCCGATTTGACGTGGAACTGAAGGTGTGTTTCAGGCATACACTCACCAGTGTAGCTTCAATCCATCTTTCACAAATCTCGACGACATCGTGATGGATAAAACGTTTGGGTTGCTGTTGGCGTTATAAATTGGGTGAGTTTTGTTTTACGCCGCTCTCAGCAATATTCCAAGTATGGCGGTGGGACACCAGAAATGGGCTTCACACATTGTACCAATGCGGGAAATCGAACGTTCGGCGTAACGAGAGAACACTTTGTCCACCAGGCTACACCACCTTCCCACCGGAATATAGTATTCTACCGGCTTTAAACATTTAATTCCTTGGATTGCCTCTTGAAACGTAAGGAATCATATTCTGCTTCAGTGTTGTCTGCAGACCGTCCTCCATACATGCTAATGACAAACATAGTAATCACACAGCTCATAATGTTAGCGAATTATCTCAAGTATATTATAAACATCAACGGAAGACATAAACCAGACTCGCTCATCTTGCAAAAAAAATTCAACTGGGTCAAAAGGTGAGGCCATGCTTCAAAACACGTACCCTGTTGTTTGTTCTCATGTAGAACACGTGTATGGACGTATCTACTACGTTTCACGGGATGGGGATATAACCACCGTACTTAGAGATGTAATATTCTAAACTGAAATCTCATAAAATACACACTCAGCAATATTTCAGCTATACATCGGCGGTTTGTAAATAATTGAGGCTGGACTAGACAATCCAGTGATCAACATCATGAACATTGATCTACACAACTGGGTTACGGAGACGTCAACCACTTCAGTGAGTCTGAACACCTGATCCCGTTAGTCGCCTCTTGCGACAAGCATGGGCTGCTGAAGACTAATTGTAACCCGGATCTTCCTGTATGCATCCACTCACCCACATCACAGTAAACATCTGTAATGATATCAACTTGCTTATCGCAGCAGGTTCTTTATCAGGTGCGAACTACCAGACATGACTGAGTCCGGCACTTGCTGCAAACATTACAACTAACTCACTCACTCTCAAAACACTGTGTTTGCGGGAGACAAAGATTTCCCAGCTGCAATGCTGAACGTAATATGAACGCAAGGATATAACTGCATTTTACACACACATTTCGGTTTTATATCATTTGGCAATGTTTAAGCTGTGGTGAACCGGCTCAATACCTAAAACAATAGGAGTACCGCTGAAGTTTTAGTCACGTGAATTCATATATCATACAGTATATATGGGTTGAAGTTCTTCAAGACAGTATTTATATTTTGTGAAGCCAAAGGCAAAAAATATTTTTCCTGCATTTACTGGACTTCTAATTATCCTACTGAGTATATTAAACGAGCTCCATAATCTGATTTTTAAACAAATTCTAGTCTCTATCATTCATGTGTAATATATAACGAGATTGTAATCCAAATATGTAATCAACTTTTGAAGGCTTGGTGATATGAAATATTTTCGGTCGTATCGGTCTAAAAGTGTTTTGATAATTATGAAAGTAAATATTTTACTGCAAACACATAGTATGGTTGTTCCACCTGACATAATTTGATGTTACGCTATTTTTAGCAATATTCAGCAATATCACGGCGGGGGATATAAGAAATGGGCTACATACAATGTACCCATGTGGGGAATCGAACCCAGGCATGACGAGGGAACGCATTAACCACTAGGCTACCCCACTGCCCGTAAAATATCATTAAACCATGCAATAATGATGCTTCTGTCATCAAAAGTTTTGTTAAATATCAGTTCATATATAGAATGCACA